TGTTCTGGTGTCTTCGGAGCACTTATTGCTTGTATCATAAATGAGAAATCAGTGCACCGCAGACACCAAGACGATAAGACGAAACCTCGCACATTAATTACCCTTTTTAATAAGTTCCAGCAATATTTCTTGATTTTTTAGCAAAATACAATTGTGTGTGCTCGAAGTGGTACTGGAAGAAGCATTACATTTTTACTAGATATCATAATCATAATATCATACATTGCACGAACGCATAGCGAAGTTCAGCGTTATTCGGAAACCGAAAAAAAAAACTTACATTTTTACACTTCGGTGCACTTCCACGACCGGGTTTAAGGCAAAATTTGACAAAAAATAGTTCACCAGTCCACTGAGAATTCAAACAACGTAAACAAACAAACTCGTAGCGTAGACAACGATAAAGCAGGGGTTTGACATATAGCTGAACACACGTACTCAACATCAAAACAACATTGTTATATCTAGAGTAACATTTGAAATGGGCCTATGTCCAAAACGTAAACAAATCGGGTTTTGATACCATTCTTTAGCACCGCTTGATAGCTACTAATAGTGTAAGAAAGTTCCGCATAATCGAGAAAAATCATTAAAAATAACTCGATTTTCGAAACGGCCGATCAACGAAATTTTTCGATTCATTTATAGGCCCGCACGCTAAAACGGCCAACCATTCATTTATTTCATTTCATTGTTAAGCCTAGTGACGTAGAAGGGCCGATGATTGAAAAATTTCAAACCAAAGCTAGGCCCTACTGCTTGAGGCAGGGCCGATGATTTGTTTTGAATTTATTTGACGTTGCGAAAAGGCTTAGCAAAGGGCCTACCATTTCTGATGACAAGCACAACGGCTTAACAAAAAGGGCCAATCCATTGAAAGATTCACAAAAAAGGCTTATTAATGTATGAAATTATATTGTTATCGATTTTCATATATTTTTGAAAGGTTTTCGCATATTTTGGATGTTGTATACTGAGATACAGTTACTATTGTTATTGTGAACAATATAAATGCCTAAAATACTTCAATTTTCTTAAATATGAATTGAATAGAGGCGGCAAAAATTTAAAATTCATTTTCTGGTTTGTTTACGTTTTGGACATAGGCCCATTTCAAATGTTACTCTAGATATCATGGTACCGCTGACAACGTTGCAGATGTTCGGTCAGCGTTGCCAGATATACCGATTTATCGGTATTTATACCGATTTCCGAACTAGATACCGATATACCGATAAGGTTCCTCAAAATACCGATTTTTGAGGTTTTATACCGATTTATACCGATTTTTTTAAATAATCAAAATGAAAATTACCTGCCCGTGCCCGAATTTCGGAGAAAATTATTGTGAAAGACTTCTATCTTTTTGAATAACTCAAATTCTAAAAAAAAAATCATCTTCAAAAATGTCATATGGAAACTCTTTCGATTAATGTTTCAATTTCCTCACCGTTTTTGGCTACCCATGAATCGATAAACAGTCGATTGCTCTTTCTGGTAATTCCGGAGGAATCGGGAAATACTTTTTCAACATTATTTAACTTCCTGGATTTTCTTCCACCTTACATCGTAAATTATTTTACGATTCCTCTCGGAAACTTATTTCGACTTCCCTTGGAATGAATGATTCTTCCATCTTCTACCGCCAGTTTTTTCAACTTTCCCGGAACTTCAGGGATGCTTCCAGATTTGGATTGCGGATCCACAATAGTTTCAGGAACTTTTAAGAAGTTCTGAAACTTCGGAAAAGTTCAGGCTTTTGAGTAAATTTCGATAAATTAATGAATGTTTCAATAACTTGTTAAAATTCAAAAACCCGGTCCAGCGAACTCCAGTGCACTTAAGTATACATCATAAATATTTTGGATACTTCATAAATCCAAAGAACTTCTGGAAAATTTAAGGTTTTCAAGACAGTTCCATTAGTTTCAGGAGAATTGAGAGAACTGTGCGAAGCTCCGAGAACATCAGGACAGATCAATAATTTTCACAGAAATCGCTGAAATTTTAAAGGAGTTCCGAGAAACTCAGGCAATTTCCGACAACTTCAGCAATGTTCCGAGGGGTTCATGCAAAGAGTAGTTACATGAGCATTGGCACATTGTGAGAACATTTTATGGGAAGTTCCGTGCTTATTAATGGCAGTGTCAATAACTTTTAAAAATTAGGAAAATCGGAAAAATCAGAGAACTTCAATGCTGATGTTACAATAAATTCAAGAAAATTGGGGGCAACCCCGGCGTAGAGGTTAGCATCCATACCTCTCACGCCAAAGTCACGAGTTTGAATCTCACTCCCGGACAAGTCACGAATGACCCAAGAGCGTTAAAGTGACTATAATTTAAAAAAAAATCACGAAAATTGTGCGCTTAAGAAATTTTGTAATCTAGAAAGTCTAGAGACCTTCAAAATTGATTAGAGATATTCCGGTAGTCCCATTATAATTAGGGAAGTTCCAAGTATTTCAAAAATGATAAGAGTACTCCAAAACAGCATAAAATCCATAAGTACATTTCAGGAATGTTCCAAAAATTTCAGGGGCATTGCGAGGTCTTCAGGGATGTTTATGACCATTTGGAAAATTTTTTTGGATCATCAGAACATCCCCCAGGAGCTCTTTCTTCCGGAATTATTTCCTTGTTTCTTTCGACTGTTCCATAAGCGCTCTGGCTTCCGACTTTCTCCAGAAATTTCTTTAAACTTCTCCCAGAAATTTCTTTCGCCTAGTTCTGGAATTTTGTCCAGTTGGTTTTTTTACTTCTATTGCAAGGTTTTTCCGAGCTTCTTCTGGCTGCCCCTGGAAACGGCTACTTTTGGAGTTTACTTCCAATTTCCGATACTTTTCTGCCTTCCTTTGATTGTGAAATCCGATTGTTTTCTGAAAGTTTCTTTGAATTTTCGCCAGAAGCTTCTCAATTTATGTCTTTGAAGTTCCGCGGATGTTTTTCCGACTTCTCTCAGAACTTTCCTCAAATTTCCTCCAGTAGAGCTTATTTCGACATTCTTTGGATGTTGTTTTCAGCTTCCTCCAGAAGCTAATTCAAACATTCCCTGAATTTTCTTCCAAAATTTGTCCGATCATAATCCAAAAGTTAAAATTTTTGCTTTCAAAAACGGCAAAAATATAAAATTAATTAAAATATTGAAAACCGATAAATACCGATTTTTTAAAACCTTTGATACCGATAAGCTTTAAAACATTCTGGCAACGCTGTGTTCGGTACGCAGCAAACTTAAGCGATATGACAACCATATCCATCTAAAGCCCTGCAGTAAAAGTATGGACGACTGTCACAAGGGGCTGTAGGGCTTTATATCCATCCCCTGCGATAAAGCTGCTCCGCGGCAAGTATTGGCAGCTTTTGCAAACAAAACATATCACGTTGCCAGATCGTCTGGATAATGCTTCCGCGAATCTCTGTATATAAGAATACTAGAGTGTATGAATGTTAGCCATTACTCCAGGGCCGTTCCCATTGTTTTCTTTAATTGGATCAATACTGATGCGGGACCACCGGAATATGGATGATTATTCAAAATTTGGCTTAATAACCCATTTTTCATCTCTTGCATCTAAACCTATCTACTCGCATCGCTCTCCACCCTTTTGCAGGAAATCTTCAGAATCATAATCAATCGTGTTTCTATCTATTAAGCGCGAGTGCATCTCACAACAGCAAAGCAAAAATTTCCTGCATCTTAGATAGAGTCGCCCCCTCGCATTTTGACTGATGGTTCGGTGTAATGACGCAACAAAAAAAAATTAAGCTACACTCTAGCAGTCCTAGGCATACGATGGTCGAAAACATCTAGTTTCTCTGTAGATCCCCCTCAAGCATAGCCCACGACGCGCGCCCTTGATAATTTGATAATTACCGATCTTATCAGCGTTTCGCACCATGTCGTGCGGGGGTGAAGTTTATTTATTATATACAATCCTACATTCTCTGTGAAAAATACTACACATGATCAAAAGGGTTTATCTAGGTCTGAGACGAATTAAACCAATTTGTTGAAAGCTGATTGTTGTTGGTTTTTCTGTGATAACATTTTGGGCCTTGTACCTCGTCGACTCCGATCATAATATTATGCTGCTCAATAACATACTGTTCGTATTTAGAATCGTCAGCCCTTTTCCTTATATGTGTTAAGGGTAAAAAATAACGTCCAAGATACGTTGCTATCAAAAGAGAATGCGTAATTTTTGAATCACTTTTGACCGTTCAAATGGAACCATTCCAGAACAATGTGCCCCTTGAACTTTATTTCATTAGCATAAAAAGCGGAGTACGCGTGTAATAGGTCTATCACCACGGAAACCGTTGCAGTGCATTGTATCCATTCTACAAGCTATTGAACTAGCCATTTTGTGTGGAATATTTAGCAGCTTTTCGGGCGTGCAATATAGAACGAAATTAATATTTATCGAAGACAATTGATTTTGCAATAGCACAAAAGTTCGTTTAAATCGTGTAAATTACTGATGGGTGAAATTTCATTTAAAAGCTGCTGAGAGTTATACTACGTAATATAGGCTGTCTTGCAATGAGCACTCATACATCAAATTCACCGGAAATCATATGAATGAGTTTTGATACCAAGAGAGCTTATATTACGTGATATCAGCTATAGTTTAAACTTACTATTAAGCAATTTTGGATATAGTTTGTTCATGGGATTTAAAGACTATGCTAATCTAATATTACGTATATAAGGAAGAACAACTACTGGTCAAACCGTGTTATGCCATTTTACTAGGTATAGAAGTGTGAATCCAGCGTTACCACGTCGATTTTTAGTAATGATGCTTTATCGTTCGAAACCACAGTGCAACGAAGAATAAAATTCATTGAAGAGCATTATGATAACAAGCTGAGCTTATCGCTCACCGTCAGCTGTACATAATTACGCAATCGGTAACTCGTTTGCGGACAAAATGATATACATACATTTAAGTACATGCAGTAAATGACCATCGCGAGACGGAAGAGAGAACTTACCGAGCTTTGTGAACCTGCTTGCCGTATATAATTATCCAGGTGGCAGCGGTACATCCTGCGATCGCTATCGCAAGGTTATGATTCCCTCCAACTAGCTTACTCAAATTGGGTGCCATTTCCTGTTAGAACAGCTCCACAATCCAGCTTTCTAAGAGTGTTAGAAATTATATACTTCCGATTATCCCTACTCCGGACTCACAACGTACGATGCAATACTGTAGCGATCGGCTTTCCGTTCACTTCTTCGCTTTTCGTTTGTTGGAAAACGTAATGAAGGTGGAATTAAATTCAATTCACTGACTGCAGCCAGATACACTTGGCAGCCTATTGCTATCTTTGTGCTCCACTATAATACACCAGCACACAGGGAAGTGACACCAATGAGCTGGATTACCGAGGTGAAGCAATCACTCACACAACCACTGTACGATACACGCAAGTACACGCAAGTAGTGACGTCACTACTTGCGTTTACGTTGATTTTTTGGTTTACTAATACAACCCTATTTCACGATCTGCGTCACCTCTCTCTGTACCTCATTGAAGTGACACAGCACTTGTTGTACACCAGAGAGCCCGAAACGAATCAAAATCAATTCTTGTAGGTTTTCTTCTTCCAGAGCACTATTAAACGCACCGCTGAGGAATCGATTATAACCACCGCACTCAATCAGTAGTCAACCCGACCGAACGGAAAACCACTGAACGGAATAATGTTGAACTTTGTTGCCACTTTGCGGATTTACTTTCCACCTTCAGCACACACACTGCGCACTCTTCTGGCGGGTGCTGATGAAAGGTAATCAATCTTGCCCACTAGAAAAGAATGGAGGTTGAGCAGAGAATTCGCCGAAACGCCAATCTAAAAACACTACCAATGCACCCCCAACAAAGGGATCTGATGATCGCGATTTTGCTATAGCTATAGTGCAGACACCAAGAAACGGTAACAAATTAATGGCCACAGCCCGGAAAGCAACGATGACCACCACGACGACAACGAGAACCGTGCAAGACGAACGACATATCTCTACTGGACTGACTGAATGAAGGAATCGATACCCACGGCACAGAGAGTGGTCACTTTTGACGCGACGATCGTGTATAGCGCATGAAGCTGGAAGAGACGGAACGCAGGAACACCCGCGGAAGGGCGAAATTTTTATGCTGTCAGAAGTGTCAAAACGACAGATGGGCGTTTGGATAAAGAAGTACTAGAGTATGTCTTTGCTCGAATATGTATCGACACACAATTGAAAAGGGCCTATCAGCTTTTGTAAACATCGAGGGGGACGAAAGTAATCCGTTGCACTTTTCATTTCAGGGCTTTAAATAAAATTTGGTTCATAATTGACCACTCTGTCAAGCAGTTTTGGGGTGAGTTTCTACCAGCGATTTCACAAAACTGGACCAACTAATTTCTATTTTTTCATGAAACGCACAAATGTTGGCTACTTTTCTCGAGGTTCTAGAAGAAAAAATCTCAAAATTATGTTTTATGTCAAAGTTCGAGTTGTAGTAAACGTCATTTTAACTGCTCGAATGAAGTGGTTAATTACAATACATTGTGGATAAATTCGATTAATAACGAATAATAACAGGCGCCTGCCGATTTTGATTGATTGATTTGTCTTTATTTAGGAGGCTTTCAGCCTGAGGCTGGTTCCAACTTGCCGATTTTATCCGATTTCATCGACTATTCATCGATAATCTAGGATGTGTAATAATTATCGAGCATCATGCTTATGTTATTTTTAGTGTGCATTATGTTAAGTGTCACTTTCTTGAGCAGCTGCTTTGTGATAGTTGGGGTGGCAATTTTAACTCTCAAAAAGATATGTAGAAGAATGTTGAAGAATTTTGGAAAGAGTATTGGCAAAATTACGGGGCCAATTCCAATAAGCATCCAAGTTGCGCTGGAACTCGCACTGAAAGTAACGAAATATCTGCACAAATGGTTGGCAGTTGTCATTCATTGACGACCGAACCAACAATCAATACGAAACTAACGATTTTAAATTGGCTCACCACTTTAGTAGCCTATTGGTGCCAAGCAAACGATTAACGTACCCTATTCTAGTTGAAATTCTATTACTACACTATGTTTGTTTTGATTCGCTATGAAAGTTTGACAGATAACATCAGGGGTGTGTGGATTCATGCAGAACATGCAGGGGTGAGTGAAATAGCTTGGGACTGCTTGGGACCGTTGTTCTGGTACTGAGTGAGCCAAAAATAATAATGATTTTCTTCGGGACCCAGTGGTCTTAAGGTCCAAGCGCAATGACAGCGGAAGCGGAATGGCAGCGGCAGCGGAAAAGCCCGATCAGAGTAGAGCCTACTTGTCGGATTGAAAACAAGTTAGAATCAAATCGACTTCGGCTAGGCAGCTTGATGTCATTTGTGACAACTGTCAAACTTTCCGTTTCCGCTCCGCTTCCGCCCACATTGCGTTTGGGCCTTTAGAGTTACCTCTATGACCGAACCTCAGCCCAGGCCTAGCATCTGTGGCATATCCACTTAAAAAAGTTTAAAACCTCTCGCATCAACGCGAACCATAACTTGATCTTACCGAAACTATCGATTTTAAATTGGCTCACTGCTTGACTAGCCTATTTATCGCAAGCAAATTGATGAACGCACCCCATTGCAATATGCTAATATCAATACGAAACTAACGATTTTAAATTGGCTCACCACTTTAGTACCCTATTGGTCCCAAGCAAACGATTAACGTACCCTATTCTAGTTGAAATTCTATTACTACACTATGTTTGTTTTGATTCGCTATGAAAGTTTGACAGATAACATCAGGGGTGTGTGGATTCATGCAGAACATGCAGGGGTGAGTGAAATAGCTTGGGACTGCTTGGGACCGTTGTTCTGGTACTGAGTGAGCCAAAAATAATAATGATTTTCTTCGGGACCCAGTGGTCTTAAGGTCCAAGCGCAATGACAGCGGAAGCGGAACGGCAGCGGCAGCGGAAAAGCCCGATCAGAGTAGAGCCTACTTGTCGGATTGAAAACAAGTTAGAATCAAATCGACTTCGGCTAGGCAGCTTGATGTCATTTGTGACAACTGTCAAACTTTCCGTTTCCGCTCCGCTTCCGCCCACATTGCGTTTGGGCCTTTAGAGTTACCTCTATGACCGAACCTCAGCCCAGGCCTAGCATCTGTGGCATATCCACTTAAAAAAGTTTAAAACCTCTCGCATCAACGCGAACCATAACTTGATCTTACCGAAACTATCGATTTTAAATTGGCTCACTGCTTGACTAGCCTATTTATCGCAAGCAAATTGATGAACGCACCCCATTGCAATATGCTAATATCAATACGAAACTAACGATTTTAAATTGGCTCACCACTTTAGTAGCCTATTGGTCCCAAGCAAACGATTAACGTACCCTATTCTAGTCGAAATTCTAGTACTACGCAATGTTTGTTTTGATTCGCTATGAAAGTTTGACAGATAAAATGAGGGGTTATTGGTTTTACCTATGTTTCGAGGGGTGATTCGACAAGCTTGGGACCGAAGATAGTACCAGAGGTGAGCCAAAAAGTTGAGCACGTTTCTTCGGGACCTACTTGTCTTAGAGTTACCTCTATGGTCTTAGAGTTACCTCTATGCCCCATTCCAATCGAAATTCTAGTACTACACTATGTTTGTTTTGATTCGCTATGTGGAGGCGAACCAGCCCAAGGCTGAAAGCCTCCCTAATAAAGATAAATAATAATAATAATTGATTCGCTATTAAAGTTTGACAGATAAAATGAGGGGTTCGTGGATTTTCCTATGTTTCTAGGGGTGCATCGTTTAGCTTGGGACCGAAGACAGTACCAGCAACCGGTGGAAACTAACGATTTCAAATTGGCTCACTACTTGACTAGCCGATTAGTCCCAAGCAAATCGATTAACGCACCCCATTCTAATCGAAATTCTACTACTACACTATGTTTGTTTTGATTCGCTATGAAAGTCTAACAGATAAAATGAGAGGTTCGTGCGAGGGTTCGTGCATTTTCCTATGTTTCGAGGGGTGCATCGACAAGCTTGGAACTGAAGATAGTACCATAGAGGTAACTCTAAGACCACTGGGTCCCGAAGAAAATCATTATTATTTTTGGCTCACTCAGTACCAGAACAACGGTCCCAAGCAGTCCCAAGCTATTTCACTCACCCCTGCATGTTCTGCATGAATCCACACACCCCTGATGTTATCTGTCAAACTTTCATAGCGAATCAAAACAAACAAGTGTAGTAATAGAATTTCGACTAGAATAGGGTACGTTAATCGTTTGCTTGGGACCAATAGGCTACTAAAGTGGTGAGCAAATTTAAAATCGTTAGTTTCGTATTGATTGTTGATAGTTCCGGAGCTGAGCCAAAATGTTGAGCTCGTTTCTTTGGGACCATCTGGTCTTACAGTTACCTCTATGGTACCAGAGCTGAGCCAAAAAGTTGAGCACGTTTCTTCGGGACTTTCTGGTCTTAGAGTTACACACTTAATCACGACTTCCGTGTTCGGTAATTTTTTTTACAGTTTTCGAACTGTAAATCACAAAAAATACCGAACATACAGCTATTCTCAATAAAACAACTGACAATCAGTAGCTCTTGCGACAAACTACTGAATACGGTAAGAGTTAGTACTGAACTTATCGTAAAATAACAGCTTTGCGGATAATGACTAAAACTCAGTAAAATAGAGTACCGAGTTTTTTGTATTCGTTATGTTTTACTGGAGCAGTCATCAAACGAAATTCCAACTTTGCTGATACTGACAGTAAAGCAAATTTCTTATGTCATCCTCCTCGATTCAACCTCACACTTGACGTCGGAAATCTTCTCGTGAAAACAAGAAACCATTGTGAAAATCAGTGAAACATCTGGAAGTCAACACAGGATTGCATAAACTACCCCGAAATTTATCAGTTTCTGCACTCCTGCATTGACTTTCAGATGTTCAAGTTAGTTTGAAGAAAGAAATTTCACTAAAATTTCCTATTATAGAGCTTCAGACTTAGGTACCCAATCCGGCACATCGAAAGAGCCACCACCCGGCTAAACCACCGGGAAACTCTGACCGCTCGACCTGGACTAGTTAAAACAGCATTACTGCTAATCCGCCACTAAACTCCGTCCCCAAATACAAATCGCTAATCGAATGAACCCAAACAAATAATGTAATAAAAACATTGTTGATGAATTTACTGACTTATTCATTAAAAAAATAAAATAAAAATACTGAAAAACTCAGCAAAAAAACTATGTAAACAAATAAATTACTGAATAAGACGGCAATACCAACAATCAATACGAAACTAACGATTTTAAATTGGCTCACCACTTTAGTAGCCTATTGGTCCCAAGCAAACGATTAACGTACCCTATTCTAGTTGAAATTCTATTACTACACTATGTTTGTTTTGATTCGCTATGAAAGTTTGACAGATAACATCAGGGGTGCACGCAGAAAAAAACATAGTTCAACCAAACAAAATCCGTTTCATTTTTAACAAAATTTTGAATAGAATATAGATCAATAAAATTGATGGAGTAATTCAACAAAACATTGAGTTGAAATAATACTTAAATGTTTATTGAATGGAACATCTGTTTTTATTGATTCAAAAAAATGTTTGCGTGCATCAACTTGAAGCATTATTTAAAGTAATTAACGTTTTTAGTTAGCTTGAAACATTATTTTTATTGTTTCAGAATCAAATATATAGCTAGTCTTTATTGAAAAATGAAGCAATATTTTTTATTTATTTATTTATTTAATTATTTATCAATTAGCCTATTCCGGTGCACCATTTGCTGCGTGAATGAGTTGTAGAACGTGTTGTCCTTGTGTGTCTTGATGTGCACCAGGATGTCGATTTATGTGCACCATGATGTTATTGTTGGTGGTAATTTTGAAGCGATTCTGCTGCTAACTCGGCTGCCACTGAGCTGCTGATGGTGACGATGCTGCTTCAACAAGGAATGGTTCTGTTGAATCTCCGGAATCAGACGTAGGTTGAAGTTGGCTAGATTCTGTTCCTCGCAGTTCGGTGAGACACAGGAGGTACTGCATATTCAGCGCCAAAGAATGAATCCGTCGATGTCAGTGTAGCCTTATTTTGCCCTATCGCACGTCAGCGCTGAAATTGTAAATGCAAGTTAATCGAGAAACTTTATTAATCGACATTATATTTAAAACTACTTACTTTTGAAGATCAAAGTTTAAAGGCAGCTTTTCCATAAGGAGGGACTTTTTAACTATAAACAGCAACGATGTCGATATAGACTGACAGTTTGAAACGTGCACTTAAAAATTATTTAGTTATAACAATGAAAACAGCTTTAAACAATTTTATTGGTTTGATTTAAATGAACTTCTGCATTCATTTGAATCTTTTTAGTGATCTGAAGCAAATATAAATTTCGTATTAAATAATAACAAAATATTTTGTTAATTTACGCCTCAGTGTTTTTTCTGCGTGTGTGTGGATTCATGCAGAACATGCAGGGGTGAGTGAAATAGCTTGGGACTGCTTGGGACCGTTGTTCTGGTACTGAGTGAGCCAAAAATAATAATGATTTTCTTCGGGACCCAGTGGTCTTAGAGTTACCTCTATGGCAATACTAGTACTGACTAACACCATAGAGGTAACTCTAAGACCACTGGGTCCCGAAGAAAATCATTATTATTTTTGGCTCACTCAGTACCAGAACAACGGTCCCAAGCAGTCCCAAGCTATTTCACTCACCCCTGCATGTTCTGCATGAATCCACACACCCCTGATGTTATCTGTCAAACTTTCATAGCAAAATCAAAACAAACATAGTGTAGTAATAGAATTTCAACTAGAATAGGGTACGTTAATCGTTTGCTTGGGACCAATAGGGTACTAAAGTGGTGAGCCAATTTAAAATCGTTAGTTTCGTATTGATTGTTGCTAACACGGTAATTTCTGACAGTTCAGAGATTCTGCAATTTACGGAGTTTTCAGCAAAAGCAAAAACTACTGGGTTGATTACTGAAAACTCAGCTGTTTAAAAACCCAGTAAAATTTTACCGACTTCGGTAATCTAAGCTCTGTGTGTACCGCTATGCTAATATCATAGAGGTAACTCTAAGAACAGAAGGTCCCTAGGAAGGTCCCGAAGAAACGAGCTCAACTTTTTGGCTCAGCTCTGATACTATCTTTGGTCCCAAGCTAATCGATTCAGCCCTCGAAACATAAGAAAATCCACTAACACCTCATTTTATCTGTCAAACTTTCATAGCGAATCATCCTATGAAACATCTGATTTCCTGAACATCTAATTTATTTTCGAAGTGTCAAATTTAAGTGAAAAATGTCCAAATGGAACACAGCCTCAATCGTACAGTTTCTATTAAAAAGGCGTATATGTAAAGACTCATTTCAGCTAAAATAATGTTTTTCGGAATAATAAAACCAAAAGATGGTATGTTGGCATGTTTTACTTGTAACTTACAAGAAGATGTTACAAAGTATGCGTTGGAAACATAAAACCTGTAAATTTTGCTTTCTATGAGTCACAATCAGCGATTTGCTGATCGCTGAGTGAGTGAGTGAGTGAGTGAGTGAGTTTGTGAAAAATCACTGATTGTGACTCTCATGAAGTGAAATAAACAAGTTTAATATGTCAAACACATTCTTTGCAACATCTTCTTGTATCCTACCAATTCAAAATTTGATCATGGCATCTAATTATTTCATAATTTAGAAAAACATTGTTTTAGCTGAAATGAGTCTTTGCAACCTTGGTTCAAGCACATCACTGATATGTACAATAATCATTTGAAGTATTGCGGATATTTTCGTTCGGTGTATAGAGCTCGAATTTCTGATGATGTTCCAGAATAGAATCAATCAGTTTCAATCTATTACTGCAAACATATGATCGAAACCATTCATTTTCGCGCGCATGTTGTAGCATAATCAGCATAGCAGCTAGACTAGTTTTGATTCTGATAAGCTCCACAGAGAAACAGAGCATAGTATCTAAATATTAGCGAATATTATTCGAATAAGCGTAGTTCAGGCAGTGTTCATCCTAATCTATCTACTATCACCTAATGGACACTCTAGAAGAAATCACCAACCGTAATTCTGCCATTTCGGCAACCGCTCAGCAGAAAGCCATCGAGAATGCAAATCGCCAGGTCAACCCGATTGTAGATTTCCCCGAGTTCCTCAAGTATGACCAAAACGGATGTGAGTTGGATCTGTACTGCCGCCGAAAGGCCGACATGGAGTCAAAGATCCTCAAATGGGCTTTTAAGCTAGCGGAGAAGAACGTAGGCCCACAGTACAAAAGTTGCAGCCTCGGTTGGCAACCCAAGGTGAAACAATCGGATTTGAACAAAACGTGGGCGCGGTATCTGGTGGCGGTCGATAGGAAAACCAAGAAATCAGCCGGCTACTCGATGTTTCGATTCGATTTGGACTACGGACGAAGCGTGGTGTACTGCTACGAAATGCAGGTAGATTCGGAATACCAGCGGAAGGGATTGGGAGCCTTTATGATGCAAGCACTGGAGAAGATGGCACGGCATTACGGTATGGAACGGGTGGTGCTGACAGTGCTGAAGAACAACGAGGATGGTATAAGGTTTTATAGGACGTTGGGGTAAGTTGTTGACTGGGTATCTGCGTAAGATTTTGTAACATCATTGCCGTCTGTTATTTCAGATACGACGTAGACGAAACCTCGCCTGATAAGGCCGATAATGTAGCATATGAAATAATGAGTAAATCTATGCTCTAAATTCACTGTTTCAGGGACATTTATATGAAAAAAAAATGTTTATTTTCAACTTGACTGACTTTTTAATGTTAAAATACAGCAATAACAAAGGTATTAGGAAGGGTTCTTTTCATTCAATATTTGCTAGCTGCTTCCTCCAAGAACTTCGCTAGCTTGACATCCCGTTCGCTCAGTCCACTGCAATCGTGGGTGGCCAGAGTGACCTGCACCTTATTGTACACATTGAACCATTCCGGATGGTGGTCCATCTTGTCGGCCAGCAGGGCGACTCGTGTCATGAAACCGAAAGCCTCGTTGAAATTTTTGAACAGATACTCCTTGTAGATGGCATCCCGATCCTTGACCATAGTCCAGCCGGCCTTCAACAGGGGCTGCAACTGCTCCTTGCGCTGCTCTTCGGTTAGTTTAACGACCTAATGAAAGCAGGAAAGAAAAGGGGATTGGTTTATCAGGTTCTGTGAACTTCGGGGGTGCATTGAACTTCGAGCACAGATTCCGGAAATATTCCAGACGAGGATCTGGGAGGCATCGAGTGCTAGTTCAGTGCGTTACGAACTCAAGGCTGAAAAGTTTCTGTAGCTATTAATATATTTTATGAGAAGGTTAGAAGAAACTGAGATGTAAGAACATGTCATCGGTAAGAGACGTGTGTGTGAAAATTCGCCGGCGCCCTTAGATGAAAGCAAAGTCGTCAACAGTAATTAAAAGTAAAGTATTTGATGCTATTAATATATCCATCATTACTCCAGGGAGCATCTGGATGAGTTATAAAATAACACAGGGGAATTCTAAGACTCCAGTCTTACCTATTGATGGTTTGAATTGGCGAAGGTTTAGTCTGTCTAGTTTTAATCTTTCAAATTTGCTGTTGATCTATGTCCTCTGGACATCATTTGTTCGCTGAACTTAGACCTTGTGGCTTACACTCTTGAAGGATCAGTGTCGAATTGATGCTTTTGATAATTGGATCTTACACACTTTTATTGACACATCCCCTCTCTTCATAAATGTGTAAATCAAGACCCAAATGATCAAGATTCAATTTAAACGACAGTGTAAGTTCATACAAACATCATTTCCTTCGACTTCAACACTGCTTGAACATAAATGTAAATACCAGCTCGCAAAAATGAACTGATAAGAAACGTAATTGGCTGAAGACAAATCCGCTGGTTTGAGAATTAATGAAACATTGTGTACTTATAGCTATACATATTTGCTATCTGCTAAGCAATGTGTTTCTTACATTTATATTAATATTTCAAAAAAATACGTATGAATCAGATTATCAGTCGCATAATTGAAACAATAAGTATTGCAATAAATTATCACCCTTAACAATCACTGAGTAGCACCGCATGGGAACGTATTATATTGTACAATAGACTATGCCCTTGCATGGCCCCGCCAGATTATCTCCATTTCAGGGTTGATAGTCATGAAACAACTTTCTAAAATTGGTTCCATTTTGATTTCGGCAGTCTTTGCGTGAGACGAATATATGATGCTGTAAAGATGTTTTACTTTATAGTACACATTGTTTTCTCTCCCTCGCATAATCATAGCCCAGCATCCATTGCACCTCAATTAAAAATCAATAAATCTATCGCAAAAAAAAAACACACTTGTTGCTTACCATTTTTCGCTTTTTCTTGCCAATCGATAACGCTGGAACCGGTGAAACTGCTGCTGTCGATTCGCTGGTACTACCACAACTGCTACTGTACGGTTGACGTGTTTCGAATGATCGTTGCTGTGGAAGCAACAATCGTACTAATAAACTACTGCTGCACTGACGAAGACGACGACTGGCCGAGAGCAACAGATAATGGTGATTTCCGACTGTGCTTCCTTGAAAAGCTACTCCATTTGATGGTGGTATAAGTGTTGCTGCTGCATTCCGTTTCCAAGTGCATCCCACAGCCACCAATGACGGCGGCTGCAATTGCCTCCCCTCAGGCACCATCCACCGCGGAGCTTTGGACCACAGTTGACTAGAAAAGCTCCTGGTTGGTATTTTGGCTAAGAGCGTGCATCTGCAGATTATGCGTAGGGTGATGTGGGATGGAAACAAAAAAGATTAATATTTACGCAAATTCTAAGAATGATTATACCTACTTTGTACAAGTCTGCAACATTAGACAGTTTATAAAAATCATCAAGGGTGTCAACTTTTTCTTTTGAATGCAAAACTTAAATTAAATAAGTTCCAAAATTTGCCGGAACAATAACAAACCTGAACTAGTCACCACAGTTGACCGCAGCTTTCGTTTTGTGCACAGTAAATAGAAAAACTTCCAATAGATGATACATTTTACACAATTAAGGTACACCGGGGTAAGTTTTAATGCGTGGTAAGTTGAAACGGAAGGCGTAACTATATTAGCGAATAATCACTATGATTAGTTTTAACAGTACAGTTAATACTGTTGTTTGCTGGTCCGATCTCTGAAAGTGCGATTTTTTTTTGACTGAAGAAGATACGCTTCGTTCAAAAAAGCTTATATAGCGGAATCGGGAAGAACACTTTGTGGAAAGTATCGAATTGTTTATTAATTTATTTGATAAGGCTCAACCGAATTAACTTTACAGAGCCGAGGATTCTTGGTCACTATACAATACATCTTAAAACTATAGTCAAAAGGTACAACACAATAAACACTTTATCTTCCGCTATCCAAAAAGCTTCTTCCATCAGAACTGGAGCCGCTTCCAGTAGTTTCATTGTATGGCAAATTGTTGTACGCCAACGAGGGTCAGAGCGCGTCCATTGCAGCAATGGACGCAAAACGTGGTCAGCACTCACACACTCATCACGAAACGGTTGATTTCCAAAGTCGACGACGCATCGACCGAAAGAACTGCTGATGAAGAACAATGAGGAAGACCACACAATGGTTGCTGCCGAGAAAACAGACGATCGCGTAGCACACATCGAGAGTGGCCTGCTTTTGTCGACAGCCGAGTGAACACTGTGGTATCGAATTGTGAACATTGTTTTTTGTTCGCTCGATTGTGAAGCTGTTTTCTTTGTCCAACCGTGCGCGTAGTGTTTTTTCTTGGAATATGGCCGAGACGAAGATTTTATTAGACCGGTTGAACGATTTCAACTTGGCAAGCTGGAAATTCAGGATGGAGTTGCTGCTGCTCAAGGACAATCTGTGGACAACGTTAAAGTATCCAAGCCGGAGGTGATTACAGAAGCCTGGACGATTAACACGCAGAAAAAATACTGAGGCGTACACCAATAAAATATTTTGCTATTATTTAATACGAAATTTCGATTTATTTAATCGATGGAAAAGCTCCAGCGACTAGGGTTGATGCAGATATTATATCACACTCTAAGGGGGGGGGGGGGGGTCTAAGATTTTGTGACAAGCAATGCATTCTGTATAGGAAAAACGTCACGATAGGGGGGGGGGGGGATAATTTTTTGTTCGATTTAGCGTGACATAATTAATGCATGGACCCCTATCGGTTTGGCACTAGAAGATAGCCAGCTGTGCCACATAACGGGAGCTGCTAGTGCCAATTACATGTGGGACAAACTCAAAGGCTACCATAAGCGAGGATCTCTGTCATGTACTGCGGAGATTGTGCACGATGCGTCTGATAGATGACGGGAATATGTCAGAGCATCTCGTCCAAGCGTCAGAGTTGGCTCACCGATTAGCCAGCATGGGAGAGCCGTCGAAGGAACATTTTGTTGTGGCGATTTTGCTGTCGAGTTTACCGGAGACGTACAACCCGCTCGTTACTGCTCTTGAAGGCCGTCCAGAAGAAGACCTGAAGCTGGAGTACGTGAAAGGTAAGCTTCTAGATGAGTTGCGGAGAAGAAGCGAGAACAAAGTGCATGAAAGGCAAGTGAAATGACGATGAAAACCACTGTGCGATCAGAAGAACGGAGAAGTTTTGCACGGGCTTGTTACCACTGCAAGCGAAAAGGGCATTTGCGGTGGAGTTGTCCTGTGTTGATGGAGGAGAGGCGACAAAACCAAACGAAGTCAATGGTGGTTAAGGACAAGCAATCGGAAGCCGGTAGCAGTGGCAGTAGTCGAGGAGTGTGTTTCACGACGACGACTGCAAGTGATGTGTCGATTGACGGTCGTTGGATCATCGACACTGGCTGTTCGAAGCACATGACTGGATCGACTGTGAGCTTCGGCAGTATGACGTTCAGTGAAGAGAAAGTGACTTTGGCGGACGGAAGAACGGTGAAGGCAACAGGAAGTGGGCAAGGAAGGATCACAGGTGCCGTATTGAAAGGCGAAGCTGTGGATATGAAGCTAAATGGATTGCTGTACGCCAGTAGTAACGCAAAGCAGGAGGAGTGCTACGGAACAGGAGGAGTGTTGTAAGTAGATGCAGTAGTGGGCTTCACTAAGGAGGAGTGTTGGAAGTAAGTAGTGAAAGCCCCTGGATGCGTGTCTATAACAAGAGTGTCTATAGCAGCCCCCGGGAACGTTGATGACAGCTGCCAGTATGAGTGTGTAGGAATTGACGAGTGCACGGATGGATTTGAGTTCACTCACTCGACAAAAAGTGACACTACAGCGGGGCTCTGTTTACTAAAAATGAACACATGAATAATACTCGCGTAACATTTGAAAAGGGCCTATCAACTTTGGTAAATAATTCGCTAGGTCCTTTTCACGAGAACCGAAGTACGCCCACGCAAACCAAGAGCACTATGGGGAAGGGGAGAATTTCCTTTGCCCGATGGTGTTGGTAGTTTACTTGAGCGTATTCGGTTCACGTGAAAAAGGCTTAACAAGTTTTGTGTACATAAGTTGATAGACCCGTTTCAAATGTTACGTGAGTATTATTCGTGTGTTCATTTTTAGTAAACAGGGCCCCGCTGTTGTGTCACTTTTTGTCGAGTGAGTGAACTCAAATCCATCCGTGCACTCGTCAATGCGTGAGAGTCGATGTCAATTATCCAAGGTCTGGCTCAACCGGCTTATTGGTATTAGTGAAATGTGGGAATGTTTAGTGGTGTTCGTATTTCATCGCAATATTTATCTTTTTACACGAAACAGCTGTTTTCTGTGACGACACGTCTGCCATAGACGAGTGCACGGATGGATTTGAGTTCACTCACTCGACAAAAAGTGACACAACAGCGGGGCCCTGTTTACTAAAAATGAACACATATGTGTTCATTTTTAGTAAACAGGGCCCCGCTGTTGTGTCACTTTTTATCGAGTGAGTGAACTTAAATCCATCCGTGCACTCGTCTATTCGCAGTATGGAATGTTGTGCTGCCGTGACATCGTCATTCGTTTGCTCAGCAATGTTTTCAACATTTTTGCTTCTAACACCAGCATGCTGCCTGTTGTTCCAGACCTTGTATGATTGACATCGCGTGAGAGTGAGAGACTGACGAAGCATAAATTCGACCGTGACCATGCATAAGGGCGAATACGCGATGATCGATTCTCTTCATCGATATTCTCTTTGCATTGCTACAGCGGCTACAGCTAAGCGAAACAATTTTCTAGAATTTGTTCAATGCAGAGTAGTAACAGGTTGTATTGGCTATCGAAAGCAACAACAAACGCACCGAGAAACGTTAAATCTAGCGAGTTATTAACAAAAGAGAAAATCGACGAAGAGAATCGATTATCGCGTATAGGCCCTTATGCATGCTCACTGTCGAATTGCTGATGTGTGTACAATTTGTGTTTGTTGACTAGTCCATTGTAACATGTAAATAAAGACGCACGTTGAACGTAGTCCGCGGTTATTATTTTTCTTCGTTATCACGCGACTCCCGGGACGGATGTTTATTGTCCGGTAGCTCGGTTTGGATAACCTGCGCTGGGATTCCCACAAGCCCTAATAAAAATTGTATGGTTAATTTGCTTAACGACGTGTTCTGGGTATCATCCAAACCATTTGTGGAATAGTTCAATGATTTGGGTTATCGTTCGTTTATGGTCATTTTTTATTAGGGAATACAAACCTTAATGCGTCCTATGAGTAACAGGTAGTCACAAACATCTTAGCGTGTCCTTCAGCTTTGTTTATATTGTCGTATTTTTTTTTTGCCGGAAAACGAATTGCAAGAGCCAGTTTGCAAGTGAAATCCTAGCAGCGAGCTGTCAACTGTTGTAACCGTTGGTTTCATATACCCATTTGCATTGACTTTGTCAAGTGCACCAACATAGACGAGTGCACGGATGGATTTAAGTTCACTCACTCGACAAAAAGTGACACAACAGCGGGGCCCTGTTTACTAAAAATGAACACATGTGTTCATTTTTAGTAAACAGGGCCCCGCTGTTGTGTCACTTTTTGTCGAGTGAGTGAACTTAAATCCATCCGTGCACTCGTCTATAGAGCTACTCCTTTCAACGCACCTTGCATTTGGTAGTCAAGTGCTGCCATCTGTGTGTCACAAATCTGTGTTCATTTTCTAAGCAAATGAATTGGGTCTACTCCAGTATGTCTTACACTGTAAATCCAAGCTAGGGAAGAAACATAATTATCGGGTTGAACAATGGGGGGCTTGTCAAAAAAAATGAACAGGAAGATTGTATGCTCCCTGCAATTCTAGAACTTTCTAGTTACTTCGGTCGGACTGATTCGTTCTTTCTGGCTCAAGACTTCAAGGAAGTTAGAAGTGCGCGGCGCGTTAATATAATCGAGGTTGTCAGTTGTGTGAAAAGTGTGTGGTTCCTTTTGTAAATTTCTATTTCTTTTCTATTTTAGATTAATTATTAATTAGTGGTAGAAAAAGTCCGAGTGTTAAAAAAGTTAGTGGTAGTACGTGTTAGTAGAGGTAAAAGTGTTAGTTTGATTAAGAAAAGTATGTCCTATAATGTTAGTATTACTTACCTAGGGGTGCTGTGCCGGAGAAAGGGACCATTGTCCATCTCGAAGAGTTACCGGAGTGTAATTTGGAAAAAGGTAACCTTTTTAGCGATATTAGGGATGATTTTTGAAAATGTACCCTAAACTTGGTGACGTGAGACTAATCTAAACTTGAACAGGCCAAGTAAGGCCTTTTTCCGTTCGCCTAGATAGACCTCGGACCGCACAGCTCGTTAATCGACGGTCAAATACCACGTGGACATTGTAGTCATCCGAAAAATATATCCCTGAGCCAGAAATCGTCCCTGCGGGTGCTCCATTGGAGGCCACGGCA